CTAAATTTTTCATTTTATTTTCAGCTATGAAAAGATTTAATCTGTCAAAGAGAGTTTCGGTTTTTTGTTACAATGGCCCTCCAACCCATAACTTGCACTTTTTTCAAGAATCATATAGCAGGCTACTCATTCATAAAAGATAACACATGAAGCAACATCATGCCAGGCCTATTATATCTTCTTGTATAAAGGGGACGAAAAGGATATATATCAAATTGTGGGTGTTCACACCAAGTCATGTGGACACCGAGAGCAAGTTGTGAAGAAAATAACAGATTTAAATGCCAAACTGGTTATAAATCACAGGTCGAATCTATGTGTAAACACGGTGACTGGATTTTAGAAACAATTTAGTCACGAGTAGGATTAAAAGGCATATTAATAAAAGACTCCAATGTAATCTCATTTTGTTGTAGATTGTGATAATTATTATACAACAATACCTGTGATGGGAGAATCGAAAACTAAATGTAAGGACATGAGGACACAAGAAAAGATATAAATGCCAAACTTGTTATAAATCACAAGTCCAAACTACGTATTAAAACAGTGGCTGCGGGTTTCTTTACAACCTCTGTAATTGTTATATAAACCTATAATTTAGAGAGATAAACCCCAGTGGTCGTTCATATCAATATTGCTTGAATGAGGAGGATTACAATAATTCTGTTGAATGAATACATAAAGAAATAAAACAATATATAACATCAATGGTAATTTGTTGCAGATTGTAATAAGTACATTATCACAATACATGTGATGTGAGAATCGAGAACTACTTCGAGGACAATAAGAGATGCAAATGTGAAACTGGTTATAAACCGCAAGTTAAAACTACACGTAAAAAAGTTTGGAACGAACTTCTCCGAGTAAGAATCTGATGAACTTATGTCTTTATTTATGAAAGATTACACTTGAAAAGGGTGACTTTTTTTGTCGGATAGGATTAATTATACCTTATAATAAAAGATGTAAACGTGAAACTGGTTATTAACCACAAGTCCAAAACAACACGTACAGAAAGATTGGTTTTTGAAACGAACTTATAGGGTAGGATTAAAAGGCACATTAATAAAATACTCTAATGTAATACATCATCTCATTTGGTAGCAGATAGTGATAATTACATTATAACGATACATGTGATATGGGAATCGGAAGTTAAATGTAAGGACACGAGGACAGTAAATGCCAACCTGGTTATAAATCACAAGTCCAAACAACATGTAAACACGGTGGCTGGTTTTTGGAACCAATTTGTCAGAGTAGAAATAAAAGGTATATTAATTAAGGACGACACCAGTCTCATTTTGTTGTAGATTGTATTATAACCATACATGTGATGTGAGAATCGAGAGCTACATGTGAAGACAATAAACGATTTAAATGTCAAACTGGTTGTAAATCACTGCAAACCGAACTACTTGTAAAAACGGTGACTTCGTTTTTGGAACCGACTTGTTAACTAAGATTTAAAGGTATATTAAAAAGAGTCCAATGTAATATATCAATCTTAGTTTGTTGTAAATTGTGATAAGTATATTACAATACATGTTTTGTGGATACCGAGAGCAAGTCGCAAGGAAGATAAAGAGATTTTATGTTAAAATAAGTATGAATGGTAAAATGGTATTGAAAAGATATATCAATGAAAGACTGTAATACACTAATCTTATTTTGTTCCAGAATTTAACAATGTTAGATGTAAGGAAAAATAAAAGGTTCAAATGTTTACAAATTTTATGAATCATAGTCCAAACTTTATGTAAAAAAGGACTGATTTTTTGAACCAACTTGTCAGGATAAGAGTCAGTTTCTTTACAAACTTTATATGTTGTTATAACAACGTACATTTCAACTAGATTAACGGCTTGAATATATCATCATTCGTTACTTCCTCGGTTTCTGTCATGCTTTATAACAACGCCGTAACTTATTAAAGTTAGTATAAAGAGGAATAAATATGACTTTGTAATACATGCTAACAATACAGTGCTGTGGGCATCGAGAGCTATATGTGAGGACAAAACGTATTCAAATGTTGAAATGGCCTGTCCAAACTACATTAAAAACTGACTGTTTCTACTTGTGGATTAGTTCGGACTTACATTGTTGTCTAAATATTCTAGAAATAGTAGTTTCCTCCAATGGGCTCAACCTTAGTTAAAACAAAATGTTCTCATAGCCATTTGTACAAATCGGACGCACTAATAACCTGGCTGTAATAATTATGTAAAATGATGTTCAATAGTTATTCAGTTTTATTAAGCATGAAAAACACAACGTGAACTCTAATTAAATCTTTAGCTACATTTATCCACACTACTTGTCGGGTGAAATAAATGTGTTCGTGTATTTAAAAAAGACTTAAATGTATAACACCAAACATAATTTGTTGTAGATTGTGATAAGTATATTATAACAATACATGTGATGTAGGAATCGAGCACTAGATGGGAGGACAATTAAAAAAATTTGTGTTAAATTAGATATGAATTACAAGTGAAATTACATGTAAAAATTATAGCAAAATTGCTGGAATGGCCAACAGAAGAGATGTTGTGTTTTCGAGTGCTAGGGAAGCTGATACAAAAACGGGGATCAAACTGGAGACTGTATAGCTCTACACCAGATATTCCAAGCCGTGTGACCATTACATACAAAAAGCCTACTTAACTAGAGATTGCAGAGGTGACAAAGATTTTCACCTAATGCCATTGTGGACAATTGTCATGGTGAACCATTCTTAACATTATCGTGTATCATGAACTATTGTCATTTAATTGTAAACGTGAAATTTCAGTATATCGTGATTTTCATACTGTGAACTTTTATTTTTGGAAACCATATATTTTATTAACAATATATCAATACAGTGTGAGATCTTTTTCCATAAACGGGATTGGCAATCGAATGCAAAACGGTCAATTCTCCCACTCTATGGTATATGTATGTATATATCTAGGATCTTTGTATATACGACTGTTATGATGACAGATTTAGGTTAAACTTACGAGCTCAAATCAGATTACATTGATGTAAATTTTTAACAAAAATAAGTCTTAAGACACCAGAATCTTTAGTATCATGTTGCAAGATACGGCCCCATTAAGACTTAAATACATAAATCTCTGAACTGTATAAATGAGCCGATCTGACACGCCGTTTTTATCTGCTTCATATACATGTATGTGAAATACGGTAAAATCGTCATCAAGTGATATCCATGTTCAGTAATATCATTTAATAAACCTGTTTTCACTGGATTTGACTACTTCCCAACGTTTACTGCCACTTCTGAGATATACAGCCTGTTTTTGGGATGCTGGTGCACTTTCATTTCTACTGAGTAAAAGGGTATGAAAATGAAATTTTCGGGTTAACGTAGAAGTGAACGCAAAGATTTAGAAATTTATAGATCGATTACCTCCCTTAGCAAACGTAACATAAATGTGACCCAAATTCGTAAGCCGTCAAATTAGAAGTCGATAGTGTTTGTAAAACTGTCGATTTCATATTGACACGAAAAGTATCATCGTTTTCAACGACAAGATGACATAAAACAAGCAGTAAAAAAAATTTCATTGACGACTTAGTTAAAAACAAAGTTTATATAAAGAGTTATCTCCCTTAAAGACAAATATGAATATTTCAATATGTTACCATTTTCCTTTCTGGTGATTTAAATAAAAATTAATTTAATAATTTAAATAATTTAAATCAACACATTAATTAACCGTGGAGTGCAGAATCAGTAATGATCCAACCTAAAAGAACAGTATATACTTCATTACAGCTTACAAAAATACTCTTTCCTCGGTATAATGAAGGCGCATTGATCAGTAGTATTTAATTCATAATGCCAGACCAATTGAAAAAAATAGGCTCAAAAGAGGCCGCTTCAATTAGCATCTCAATCAAATTGAACAGGACATATACAATAATTTTAACCAGCATACAAATTTCACAATCAGTCTAATTAATGTCAGTCCATTGGAATTTTGCCAGTATCTTGGAAGTATGGATTATTTCTGACTAAAACTACGAATAACTTTTATGTTTGGTTTCAACATTTTTTCCCTCCAGTAAATGATGGGATAGTTAAAATGCCCTTTGGAGAGCTACTCACACGTTTAAGGCAGACGCTCTTTTAGCTTGTATCAAATCACCAGGTAATAACTTATCCAACATATCTGAGTTACAGTTCGTCAACAGCTTGTGACAGAAGTTGTAGGTTATTTCCAGAATATATTTGGATGTTTTGTTGCTTGTATAGTTACTAAAGGATTGACATTTGATCTCAACATTATGAGGACATTAGAGTGTTTGTCTATAAAATCTCGAGTCAATCATCTCCGACACCTGTCTATCAAATTTATTTAACCCTTTCGCTGCTGGACTGCACAATATCACTTGATGGGCTTAATCACTGAATCATTTAAGGATTGAGTGTAGATTTTTTTGCGTTCTTTGGTTGATGAACGCAGAATTTTCACCTGTTAATGACAAGGGCACTTTCCTTTACAAAACCCTGGTACCACTTATGGGGGTGCAATATAAGAGCTCATTTGGTCAAATTTATGAATGTATGACCGGTCGGACCATTACCGTGTCGGACCATTACTGGTTCGGACCTAAAAAAAAATGTTTATAACTAACTCGGACCAATGTTTTTTTTCTCACTACCGACTCGGACCAAGGTTTTTTTTCTCACTACCGACTCGGCCCACTCGACTTTGACCAATACCTTAGTGACTCGAAGTAATTTTTACGACAGACTGGGATCACATTTTTTATAAATTTGGACCAATACCTTGCCGACTCAGACCACTTTTGTAAACAAATTGAAAGTAAAATGGTAAGGACAACTCTCACTAGGACTCAGAACAATGTTAAAAGACAATGCATATGGCGGCCATTATAATGGCCGTGTTTTATATATATTAAGTTTGGTGGCCCTGATGTCCCTGAAAAGGGCCGTTTAATTATTTGGGGCGAAGATGGCACCACACTTCTTTAATAGTTGGCTGGTACTCATTTCACCTTCACTGTACGTAGACCATATTTTAAAAAGTTTTCCTTGGGTGGTGCGGGTCTGCTTGCTTTGATATCGTTTCAATTTCCCCTCTGAAACCATTTTCATCTGTATCGGAATCTTCTTGGCTTCCCCGTACAACAATGTTATAAGAAGGTAAAATGGTAGATTTCCTTTCTTCGCCTTTTGGTTGACAGCGTTATGCCACCCCTCCACATCATTGTTGGTGCGGATCGTCTTCTTAAATAAGCACCAAGATGGTATGGTCCACACAGTACTGGTAATCCAGGTGTCGTCTACATAGTCCATAATTTCTTTAAGTTGGTCTGTGGAAGCTCTGTCTCGCAGTTTATTAAATGCGTCTAAAATCTGATCGGCGGGGAGGAAGGGCAAGGCAAACACTTCTCTTAAAAACTTGTAGATCTCGTCACGTCGGCTGTAGGCAGTCTGTGAATGAAAAATAAAAACAATTAAGAAAAACGTCCTATAGCGTTGTTACTAAATAATAATTAAGTGTTTTTTTTTATTTGACATGAATAAATAACATACCTGTAATCCCTTCACCTGAAACTTTACAACATCTAGGTTATCTTGGCCATGTGGTCAAGAGGGCAAACCACCTTCTTAGCTGTCCACTTGGGAACTGTTCATCTACGTGATCTTTTGCCGGTCTCTTTCAGCATGAGGATCATCCTTCTTTCTGATTGGTTAAAATCAAATATAAATATTTCAGGATAATCCTCATTTCTGATTTGTTAAAGCCTAATCTAGCAATCTGATTGGAGGATAGGACTTCTTGCATGTTGGTTGTTGATTGGCCAGGTCTCTGACAATGAGAACGGCGACATTGCCTTGTCCCATAAACACAAAGTATAATCTTGTTTGTATAAGTTAATTTAGCTGCGCTCAGAACAAAGAGGGATAAGTGTCAGGGCCGCAAGGTGTTTATAACTTATGAAGCATTACGTCATAGATGTAAATGCTGCGTGGGCACTGACATTATAAGTTTAATCAAGGTATTAATTGGCTTTCTGAATTGTGATTTGTGAGCTGAATTTATTAATTCATCTTGCATATTTTTGTGGTTGCTGATTTCTTTGGATTTAAGTGATTACTTCTAAGTATTTGGATAGCCGCTTTGTGTTGGATTATTCCTAGTGCTTTAGTGAATTGTTCTTTTGTGAATTATTCACAACTCTGATTTCTTTGAAATCATACTATCTATGCCGTTAGATCCGCCTGGATCGCAGTAAGATTATACTGAATTCTACTCTCTAGTCAGTCATAATACTTAATTACCGTTTCTATTTACTCTAGTCAGTCCGCTAGCTAGACCACTGCCCACTGGCTCAGTAACGGAAATGGACGTAGAGGTTTTTACGGCACCCCAAACCCCATGCTAAAACCATACTGAACCAAAAAGTCATTAATTATTTTACATTCAATTTCAGGTTCATACAGCTGAACATCAATGGTTTGAACGTACCTGAACGAAAGACCCAACTGGTACAGCTACTACAAAGGAAGCAGTATGATGCCGTTTTTCTCCAAGAGTCCAAGCTCGGTTCAAGGAATAAAGACCCTATCATCAATGGTTATACTTTGATCAGATTAAACAGACCTAATGCTCTCAACCATCGAAGTGGTGGGGGTCTGGCCATCTACATCAAAAATGGTATATCCCATAGTGAGGTTCCTCTGAAAACCATCGCTCCTCTGGAGGCACAGGCGGTATCCTTTACCGACAAGTCAAAGGTTTTTTCTATCGTTAATATTTATCGACCCGAAGTCAAAGGCAAACCTCAACGATTCAGTGAATATCAGTATGTTTACGATCAGTTGCCCGGGACCGACAATATTGTGCTTGGTGATTTTAACGCCAAACACGTATTGTGGGGCTCGCCAACAACTGACACTAATGGTAGACAAGTTGCTGAGTTCATTGAGGCCAATGACCTGGTTAGCATAAATGATGGTAGCATTACTTATGTTGGTGCAATTGCTCCTCTTGGTTCGCATCTCGATCTCACATTAGTAAGCAGTC